GAAACAAATTATAACCCATGAACCCATTCAAAAGATAACCACATAGTCAGTGAATCGCCAAAAATATTCCTCAAAATGTTAATTCACACTCAAAATGACTGTTGTGAAAACAGACAGAAATTTCAGATGATTAAAATTAAGGACCTTCTGCTGATTTGGGCTAAAATTAAGGACTTTTAAGGACCAAAAATCAATTCCAAAAAACTTAAGGACTCTTAAGGACCGTATGAACCCTGTGTAAATACTGATGAAACTCCATTAATGTTTGATATGATAGGAAATAAAACAATTGATGTGAAAAGAAACAGCAAGTACTGTTCACATATTTACTGTTTTAATGTTCTGTTTTACAGAACAGTAAAAAAAGTTCTCTTTTACAGTACCCAGGTACTGTTTTACTGGGTAAAATATATTTACTGTTTTACTGTTCACATAAAAACAGCAAGTCATGAAAATTCTCACCTCATCGTACTGCTTCGTAGACAGTACAAAATTATGGTTATTTTTAAAAGAAAGACTATGCCCAAAACGTAATTTTCCAAATGATGTTTTCAATCAGGTTAATGAGAAAGGATGGATGGATGGATGAAAACTATAAAATTGTTGATGACAGTACAAAATTATGGTTATTTTTAAAAGAAAGACTATGCCCAAAACGTAATTTTCCAAATGATGTTTTCAATCAGGTTAATGAGAAAGGATGGATGGATGGATGAAAACTATAAAATTGTTGATAAAGAAATGTTTGGCAAAAGTGTCCTGTCAAAGAACCCTGAAAGTCTTTTGGTTTGGGATATGTTCACACCTCATCTAAACAAATAATATGAAGAAACTATTGAAAGAGTATAACACAAACATGGAAGTTATTGCAGGCGGATAAACACCATTAGTTCAGTTTTTAGATGTGTGTATCAATAAACCGTTCAAGAAAATCTGAAACAACAGTAGAATGAATGGATGTTACAAGGTTAAAAATATTTACAGAAGGAAAGGCCAAATGCATTATGCCAGTCTACAAATATTGTGTGAATGGATAGTGAAAGCATGGAATTAAATTAAACCTGACAAATTCAAAAGTCATTTAAAAATGTAGTACATTTAAAAATCAACTTCACGCTGCTCTGCGGGGAGGGGGGAGGACGATGTGCGCAATGAACTGGAAGTTGATCTGTCAGCACTATCCTCATCTTCAGGGCAGATGTTTTTATTTTATTCAGCTTATAATTCCTTACTAAATGTAGTGTTTCATCTTGATGTACTTCAATATGATTTAAATCAATTTCATCGTCATTATAAATATCACGAATACACATCAAATAGTTTTCTGGTTGCAATTTTCTAATTTTGACTATGCGTAATGTATGCTTTACGCGTGTGCGCGTTGAAAGAAATGTTTAATAAAGTAAACAAATAAATATTAAGTTTTTTTTTTTTTTTTGGTAAATTTTGATACAATATTTGTAGACTGGCATAACGCATTTGGCCTTTCCTTCTGTAAATATTTTTAACCTTGTAACATCCATTCATTCTACTGTTGTTTCAGATTTTCTTGAACGGTTTACTGATACACACATCTAAAGACTGAACTAATGGTGTTTATCTGCCTGCAATAACTTCCATGTTTGTGTTATACTCTTTCAATAGTTTCTTCACATTATCATAATTGCTCTTTATTTCATAAATTACGATTTCATATTTTTAATTTTATAATTTCTGCATGCCATCTTACCAGATTTAAACTGATGATCTATAATCCGGAATCGAAGTCCCGACGAGTCCAGATTAAAGACTTTTGACTGTATTATATACTGGAATATACGGTAAATCAAAATTCTGACTTTAATTTGCAACTAAATGGAACTTTAACTGTCCATTTTAATCTGGGTATTTTCCCTTTTCATTCTATTGCCTAGAATAAAGCTCTCTAAACCCCATCAATTCCAAATTACTCCATCATAGAATTCTTACATATTTTTAACAATGCAGATAATTCAGCAAATTGAAACAAAATAACCAGTCAATATGGAATAAAAATCAGTCTTTAACAAACTTTTCAGTGAAACATGTCATGGTCTTGCCTGCATAATTGATTGCCAACATGGGTAAAAAAGGGATACTCTCTGATTATCCATACCTCCATAAAAACGTTATGAAAAAGAATTCATGAGGCAAAGCAGTTATGTTTCCAAAACAATTATGTGGCAATCCATGACGTTGCCCAAAAGTATTTATGTAGCAATGCAATTATGCATATAACACATCTGTTTTGGTTGATGTACAATGCCAAGTTTATGCAATTTTATGATATTTTTTAAAGGGGGAAAAAAAGATATCTGCATACATGGGAAGAACAGCAGTGCAAAAAAGAAACTTAGGTATGTGTGCAGCATGTCTGTTTTAGCTGTGAAATTCTTTTGTTTTTTAAAGTGAAATCCAATCACTGTGTGCATGGGAATAACCAATATCGTAAAAAGAAAAATTTCTCTAAAAAAGGTAAGTGTTTTTATTACTGATGTCTTTTAATTCTTTAATTTTATTGATTGACTGCTCTTATATTAAATTCTTAGTTCATCACCATTCTGAACATAGTTGATGACTTTTGCTAATCAGCCTGGTGAAAAATTAGTTGTTAATGAGTACATGACCTTTCGGTGTGTGTTGGGGGAATATCACAAGGTACCCCCTAAAAAAAAACTACAATTACACAGAAAATATACTGAATATATTCTGTATGCAGGATTATGTTATATAAAAGTAAATGGGCAATGAAGGAAAATTAATGTTTAACAATAAGAGAAACCTAAAATAATCCTGGTATTTTGTTATGGCTTCTTTTAACTAATTTTTACTGATAGATTCAGGAATATATCAGTTGTTCTACAGGTAATAGAACTTAGTACACTATTTATTTGGCATGACATTATCTTACAAGTAGTCTGGCATTATTCTCAACATCATTCAGAGTTTGTGCCACAATCGTTTCACATTGATCTGTTCTAGACAAAATAGCCTTTATTTACATCTTGTATAACTGAGTCTTGGTCGCTAATATCACGGCAATAGATAATTGCAATAGACTGAAACTCTTCTTTTCAGACAAGCAGCAGTTAAGTATTCACGGTTGACAGTGAGTAATATTTTTGGTTAGGAAATGCTTTGATGCAGTCATCTGGCTATAATAATGGTTTTAAGCTCTAGTGAAATCTTTAAAATTCAATACAATGATTATGAGTACTTAGTGCTAGCTCATTATGCAATTAATACATAGATAACCATGATAGCATTGATATGATATAGTAGTCAGCTTCATTAAATGTGCACGAAGTGGTCATAATGTTTTGGCTCAATAGCGTATAATTAAACACAGACATTAATGAATTTACAAAACAAAACTGATCACAGCTTAAAAAAAATAACAACACTTTTATTCATTTATAATTTGCAGTTAAATTTATTGTTTTCTAAAGGAATTGTGAACACAGTAAATTGTGTAATAATTAAAAAAAAAACACTGGAATTTATGATGGTAACAAAATAAGTTTTCTAAATGTAATCAATCAATTTCTTTATCTTTTTGTTTCAAATCAGCATCAAAGCACAGTAAGATGTTCAAAATATATACTTCGAAATTTGAGAAATGAATCATTAGTCTATTGCATTCTTTCAAAATGCAATAATTAGCCAATTTCTTTAACAATACAATCTTTAACAAACTTAAGTGACTCATTTACTTATATATTTTTACAAGTGAAGTTTAAAGAAATAAGTAAGATTAATATAAATTTAAAGTATAAAGTCTGATCAAAAAGCGCCCATCTTATTTTCTGTTTCAAGACATTGAAATGTCAATGGAAACAATTTTACTACAGTTAAATGGTTGCTTGGTAGGCATTCTAAGGCCATGAATTAGCACGCGAGTAAGAGAATTTAGTGGAGGAAAACTGGTATTTAACAAACTGAAAATTACATGGCCATGGTTATTAGGGTTTGAAAGGAAGCAATTACTCACAATTAATCTTGAATGCATGAAAATGAAACTGAAACAAAAAGTTAGTCGTTGTAATAGAAATCATCTTACCACCAAAGCTAAGAAAAGCAAGATTCTGAGCAAAATGAAAATAAAACTGAAGCTATTTAGTTTTAAGCACCTAGGCTGCAATTACATTGCAGAAAACCAAAACAGCACTATTTTGTAGTTTTACCATAATTTCAGAAGGTAATGCATTGCAATGACTTACATAGTGGAAAGCAGAAGACTGGAAACTAGCTCACAATGCACTGCAGATTTTTTGACCAAATATAATACATACCAAGACAGCAAATCCCTCAGAATTTTATTACTTACAGATGTTGCCAAAACTCTTAATGCAGCAAAAGACTTCCAGATTTGAGAATATATTTGAGGAAATGGCAATATAAGAAAGTATCTCTGAACAATTCTAAACATTCAGAAATGCTTCTAATCAATAATGAAAAATTAATGAGCAAAGTGCACTGAAGCTTAAAATTCCCAAAACATTGAAGTATGTAAGTAAACTAGGATCTTTCCATTTCCAACTAAAGGCAAGATATGTTTTGATCAAACTTCATATATTACAGTAATATCTTATTTTTATGTTAATTTTGTTTAACTATATGATTTTCCTCTTGTTGTCCCAGCTACAAATTTAAGATACATAATTATTTACATATCTGAAATTATTTTTTGAATTCTTTTATTCACCAGATTATTTTTACCATTTTAATGTTATACTATGCACTTTTATCCCAATTTTAATCATTTCTTGGAATAATATTTTTGAAGATTTTTTGGGTTAGTGAGACTTGACGAAAAATTTAAATTCTTAATATTTTTATGGAGTTTAAACTTTTAAAATAAAATAATTTTAACATCATGATGTTTAAATGCATTTTCTAAGATAAAAAACATGGATATATAAAATAAGAAATCCATCATAAAACATACATTTAAGCAAAAATCTCTGATAAAGTGTACTTACATATTCTTTTCTAGGAACAATTAAAGCAAGTTTTGTTGCAGAAGATATTCCAGTTTTTTTAGCAGCTTGAGCAATTTCTTCTTGCAGTTTTTCCAGCTGAGCCTATAAGTATAAAAAATTATATATATATAAAAGTATGATTTAAACAATATTTAACTTAAAAACAAATTTTAATCCAATATCACTTACTTTAGTCCTTAGCCTTTGTGCCAATTGTTCAAATTTACCTCTTTCATGAAATTTAAATCCCTTTTTTGGCCTCTGAAATGTTTTTGCACTAGAAAATAAATTAACAATAATTACTACATATAAATATTAATAATGAAATGTGAATTTTTAACAAGAGCTAGATTAAAATAACAGTAAGCCTTTAATTATTCAAATAACATATATCTGAAAATTCTTAACACTAAAGTAAGTATAAATGTTAACTTACCTAACACGAGGATCAAAGAATTTTTGTTCATAAAGCTCTTCCATCACTTTTTCTTGACTCATTTTAAATTGTGCTCTCTTCTGAGCTCTAATATTTGCCTGGCAGATCAAAAACAAATATGTTATTTTCAATTTCATTAAAAATTCTAAACTTTAAAATTATTGTCAGCATTATTCAAGAGTGAAGCCTGAATTTTCATTGATGGCATGCTGCCAAACACCAAATTAAAAAAAACAAAATAAATTAATAAATAAATGAAATAAAAATAGAAGTACTTTTCTGTTATGGACCCAACGATAGTACCATCTGGGGACTGTGTGTGTCAGAGAGTTAGAATAATTAAACATACATATACATATTACAACAGTACCGCCAAAATGCATGGCAGGTGCGTGACAGAAAATTACCAAAAATTATGATAATGAGTGGACGTTAGAATTACATGTATTCAAAAGTTAGCTATAGCATTTGTGTAATAACAAACTGTTAAATATTGCTTACTATGTAGAATATAGTAAAAATTTAAAATTCTTATATTTAAGGTCTGAGTTTTTCATTTGGTATCTAGTACTATCATCACTTTTACTAAAAAAAATAAAATGTGGCATTAATAGCTTTTGTTAACATCGCAATTCAATTAATTTGTCTTATGAAGCTCTAGTTCACTTGGACTAGAACTATCATTTCACTCAAAATATTGAGAAGTACTGGAACCAGAATCAAACCTTAATCAAAGCTAAATTTTTTGTTTTAATTAGATACTAATAACACACTGAAATTGTAATATTCATAACTTACAATTGGACATGGAGGAAGAAAAACCTTTCTCAAACATCATACACTGTTAACTAGCTAGTTTTCTTGCATTATGTAGTTTAACTATGTCTTATGTTTTTACCTTTATATTTATTGCATATACATGGCACATCTTATTATTTTGAAATAACTTTTATTTTTCAGATGATAATCAAAATCTAACTATCAATTGAATTAAGCCCTTTCGAAGCTACAATTTCATTTTCACTCATGCTTCAAATTTCTAAGAAGCTTCACTTAATATATAATCTTATGGGACTTTGAAAGAAAATCATAAATAAGAATAGCCAGCTTTAACTAAATGTGCAGTACTATTAAGCTTACAAACACTTACTTCTTCCAGCTGGATGTGATAAGAATACAACATGCAGATATAGACAAATTTGAACACTTTCTTACACTGTGGAAGGAAAGATGGAAAGAGGTTTTCCCCTCTGTCTGTGCAAAATACATTATTTTGTTAATGATGCTGTTATTCGAACAGCATGAAGAGACAAAATTAGAGAAGACACGATAACACACGATTTGTTTTGTTTTAAATTTGCGATTCTAAATAAAATACATGATTCAATGCAAAGATATAAATTTAAACTAATTAATGAGGATTTTATTATATGAATGAATTAAAAAACAGTAATTCCTTTTTTGCAATTTTAAATTTATAGACATGTGCCGCATGCCTTAAGATAATGCCTCTGGTATTATTTAACTTTGAAGTGCTAAATGGAAATTGTTTTATTTAAAATGCATCCGTTTATGGCAAAATCAAAATTTTCACTAAAAGCAAATCTGTTATTTTTAATTAAAACAAAAATTAAAATTTAAAAGTGGAATCTGTATAATACTGGTTAACTTTTAAATGCATCAAGAAAATATTGAGTTAAAATTAGTAACTAATTTATCTCTTTTCTCTCAATATAAAATTATTTTAAAACCAAATGATTATATGAAATTTATCATCAATTTGAAATGCATTTCTGCAATACAGCACACTTTAGTTACAACATTACACTTTTAAACGGCATTTTGTTTCTTCAGAGCAACTTTTCGTTTTTTGTTACGCTTGAAAGTATGCCAATATTATTTTGTCAAGTGATCAGTATGTAAATTATGTATCTGATAAAAGTATCTTAAGTGAGCAAAAATTATTATTTTTATTGATAATTGGAAAAAAAATACTAGTATCCTAGCAAATACATATGAATTGAATACAACTATTTTACAAAATTAACTTAATTTTTATATTCAAGGATATTTTTTCTCAAGGGAAATAAGATTATTTTATGAGTTTGATCATTTCGAATTTTCATAAACTCCCTAAAAATGAAGGAAGGAATTACTTTTTTTATTAATAAGATGAACTCAGTAAGGAAAAATGGTACTTCATAAAATATAGTTTTAGGTTTATAAATATTTTTGTCAGTTAAAATAATCTATGGAAATATAATATGGAAATTATTATAGTCTAATAAATATATTCAGGATGGTTAGAAGACAGTGTCTACTTGAACAAAAATTAAACTGCCAATGAACGTAGATGAAAATTATGCATTTCTGATACATTACTGAATGCCAATTTTTTTTTTTTTATTTTCCCAATAACTATGGTTATCTTGGTCTTTGAAACTTTCACATATAAAAATATTTACTGTAGTTATCTCATAGGATCAAATCTATAAATCAACAATTATAAGAGTTCTAAATTAATATCACCATTTAGAAACTATCTATTACAGTCTCCAAAAATATAGTGCTACATTCTAGAACTATTGTATTTGACGGCATATAAGACGCACTTTTTTCCTTAAATTTGGTCTCAAAAAAGTTACCTGTGTCTCATATGTGAAGGACACAGGTTAACTTTCAATACTGAATGCTATTTTTAGCCCGGATAAAGATCTCGACACACATAACTTTTACTACAGCTGCCATAATTATTTTGCATATGCGTGAAATATCAGTTGCCAAAAAGTGCCAAAGCTCGAAGCTGATGTTGAAGTTCGAACAGGTTCGACGATCATATTACGTCTATGGAGCCTTTCCTTCTTTACATAGACTTTCTTTGACTCAGCCGACACACGTGTACTCTGTATAAACGTGTCGGTATCGGTGCTTAAAACTATTTGTTTAAAAAAAATACCCTGAAAAATACAAGTACAGGAAACAAGAGATTAAGCTATTCAATTCAGTATAAACTAGGAGTGTTAAACTACGCCAAAGTGCATAGAAACAGAGCAGCAGCAAGGCATTTCGGTCCACCACCTACCAAAGAAAGGATACGTACTTGGCGACTGCAAAAAGATCAATTAAAAAACAAAAACATAACCTTCGATGCCCAGCTCCATCTTGGCCTGAACTTGAAAATGCCGTAAAAATGTGAGTCATAGATAAGAGGAAATCTGGGATAAGTGTTTCAACCAAAATGATAATCAATGAGGCGAAAGGATTTGCAGAAAAACATGGGAATCAGAACTTTTCAGGGTCTGAGGGCTGGTGCTACAAGTTCGTGAAAAGGCAAAACTTATCAATGCGCACAAAAACAACTATTTCACAGCAAATGCCAGCAGAAAAAACGAAGAAAAAATACTTAGCATTTCATAGGTTTGTTACAAATGCATGCAAGAAAGAAAAATTCTTTTGAGCTCGGTCAAATAGGAAATATAGTATGAAATTCCACTTCACATTTGATGTACTATCCAACAAGACTGTGAGTATTAAAGGGTCTAAATCAATAACCATAAAAACCACAGGTCATGAAAAAACCCGATATACGGTAGCTCTATTATGTTGTGCTGATGGCACAAAACTACCGCCGTTTCTAATATTCAAAAGAAAAACTTCCAACGGGTGTAATTGTTCATGTTTATCCGAAAGGCTGGATGGACGAAGCTGGAATGAAACTGTGATTACAGAACGTATGGGCGAGGCAATCTGGTGGACTTTTAAGAAAACCCTCTCTTTTGGTTTTGGATCAGTTTAGCGCCCATAGAACTGAAACTATAAAGAATAAAGCGAGAGAATTAAAAACCCAGATGGCTGTCATTCCTGGTGGACTGACTAGCCAATTGCAGCCGTTAGATGTATCAGTGAATAAACCATTTAAGGAAAAAGTGCAAGAACGAATGGAACAAGTGGATAGGAGAGCCACATCACACCCTCACACCCTATTGTTAAGTCCTTTAAGAAGTGCAGAATCAGTAATGCTCTTGACGGAAACAGTAGGGATGATGACATTCTCGTTTTCGATGATGATGATAGTGAAAAGGATTTTTATGGTTTTGAAAGTGATTAAAGTCTAATTTCATGATAGGCAATGTTTTCCTTGAATCTGTGTTTTTTGTTGTTTCTGCTTTATTTTTTATTATGTTTGATTGCTTGCTGTTCATTCATTTATTCATTATTGAAATTTACATATCATATTCAAAATAGCTTGCCGTTTGTTAATTTTCTTAAATAAAAATATGATTGGTAATTGCACTGAATGATTGTTTATTTGGCTTTTATGAAACATGAGAACTGAAAGAAACCACATTTTAAGTTATTGTGGTACCGCGCTATCGTGCGGACTATTGAAACTTTTTTCCTTACGTGTGGCCTTCTAAATAAGGGTGCGCCTTATATGCCAGTGTGTCTTATATGCCGTCAAATACAGTATTTGCTATACTGTCCATCTAATTTAAAAAAAAAAAAAAAAAAAAATGTAGAAAGGAGTTTACTTTAAGTGTTGGCATATGATGCGTCAGATGAACTTCTTTACCAGTCATATCCAGAGTTCGACCTTCTGAGTCTAATATAAGAGGTGCTGGCCTGTAAAATAAATTTATGACTATAAGGTTCATATTTAAATTACTTATGAACTTTTAAATAAAAGTTCTGCAAAAAACTGAGACTTACTTATGTTGCTTGGAATCATCTGGTTTCCTAACATAGAAGAGAACAAAAAGAAATTAAGAAAAGCAGCTTTAATAACAAATGAAATATAGATATAAAACTTCGACACATTTATTTCTTAAAAATTATTTAATATATTTTTTAAAAAAAGTTTAGACGCAGAGTTTTAAAAAAAAGGCAGCTATTGTAGGCTGTCAATAACACAAATATATTCGATGAATTACTTCACATAAGTAATAAAAATAATTACCATATTTGCCGGCACATAAGACCCATTTTCTTCTTTGAAAATAGGTCTAAAAAGCGGGGTGTGTCTTATACGTCGCTACTCAGTTTATTATATTCATTTCTGAAAATTTCCTCTATTCGTAGTTATGCTGATTTTTTTTTCTAGTTTCCTTGCAGAGTGTGGGAATATTACAGTTAGGTAGAGCTCAGTGAATGCACATGCACTGTCATCGACAACCATAGCTGGGTTCGTTAAACTTTCCATTTTTGTGAACGACTTTTAAGTGTGTGAAATTTCTACTGTTCAGCCTTTTTCTTAAATTTGTTGACAAGTTATGGCTCAAAAACAATGTCAGTATTGCTATAACATAGCATACAAGCTACGTGTGATTGTGTATGCTATAGGACACAGAAATAGGGCTACAGAGAGGCATTTCGGCACCCCCGACTGAGAAAATGATAAGAACTTGGCAGAATTATAATGATCAGTAATAAAGTTTTATCCTTCAAAAATGTGTGTTAAAAAGGGGGGTGTCTTATAGGCCGGCAAATCTGGTAATTACTTTGATTTCATGGCAAGCTAGATTAATATTTAATGAAATTATAGCAGCACATTTACATAAGTTTCATACATTAATAGATTATGTCATATATTTTTGTAAAGTTGAGTGATATTAGTGACGGGTTAAACAGGCAGTCTTAGACTCAAATTGCATGCGAGCCAAATGCACGATCTGAAAGCAGCTGATGTGCTACAAATTTTTTTAAACAAAATAAGAGTAGAGCAAACATATGTACAATTCATTTGCGGCCATTTAAATTACTTCAGAAGCCACCAGTTTGAGAGCACTGGGATAAACTGTATTATTATTAAAAAATGCATTTCCAACTAGAACAGCGAAGTATCTATGTTCCACATTTCATTCAACAGCCATTAAAATCTGAAACTTTACAAAGGTTAAGCTTTTAAAATAAAAATAAGGAGACTCTTTCTCTCTTTTTACAGCTCTAAAATATCACAACTCCAGATATAAATACAATTTTGATACACATTTTCCTAAATTTGCTGAATAATCTTGTTATTATTTTGATTAAATTAATCTGAGTACTGAACTTTGGACTGAATGATTGACATTTGAAATGATATGGACATTACAATATTTACAACAGTTCGTAGATGTTTTTCTGTATCTATCTTTTCATTTATATACTTTAAATCTACAATAATTAGATAATTAATCAGCTGCTAAGTCTTGATGCTAATCTTTTTGAGCATTTTATCTCCAAGATACTACTATTTAAAATGACTTCTAAACTAATTAAAGATAGCTAAAATTCTGGGCACTCAAGAATATGTCTATTAATACAATTATCTAAACATAATGGTTTAAATTTAAAAGGATTATTTTTTCTTACTCTATCCCCTTTAAAAAAAAAAAAAAAAAAAAAAAAAAAAAAAAAAGTTTTCATAGCTTATAGTAACACCAGTATTAAGTTTTGAATATACCGTAATTTCGCGCGTATAGTCCGCGGACTATCTGTGTTTAAAATGCGAATTTTTGAAGCTGCGGACTATCCACCAGTGCGGATAATACGCTGGTTGTTCACGGTTAAAATTGTTGAGATTTAAAAAACATGTTGTCGTGAACTGCCGATGATCAAATATAAAAAAAGCGTGAGATTCCAAGTATCCTTCGCACTGCTTTAGCACAACTGCTGGGAGGGGGGAAAAGTAGTTGATGCATCAACTCAGTTTTTAGGAGCCATAGTAGCAAGTACCTGGATTACGGAAAAAAAGCGTGATTCGTTTACTTATAGCGTGGTTTGGCAACACCGAGTGAGTGGGGTCTAAGGTCACATTTCATTACCACTTATCACGAGGATAGCACGTTGCACAGTATTTTGTTTTCGTATTTTGTCTTTCATCTTCGCTAACGTTGATGAAACATCCCCGGAGATTTACTGCTGAGTGGTAGTTGAGAAAACTGAAAAAGATGGAAATAGAGAAGTGGGCCGTTATTGGTTTAATCCTAGTATCCAGTGCACACGGGATTTGACTACTTTTGGTGACTTTATGATGAGCAGTAAAAACGGGACATATACGATGAGTAGTTAACGGGTCATTCAAAGAAAATATATAGTTAAACATAGTATATACTATGTATATAGTATATATACTATGCGTGTATAGTATATATATATAGACGTTCTTTGGATCATTTTTGGTGTTGGCGATAATTTTCAAAGTCGCGCCAAGGCTGCACCGTATACTAGGATTTTACTCCGTTATTTTGAAGTGGTCAAGAAAGCGGTGAGAAATTTGCGCAAACAAAAGGATGTGTTAAAAAAGCATGGGAATATTGCCGTATTAAAAAAACGTAATTTCGGACGTATAGTCCGCGGACTATCCGGTGTGGTGCGGACTATCTGACAATTTTTAAATTTTTTTTTACATAAAATCGTGTCTGCGGACTATACGATGGTGCAGACTATACGTGCGAAATTACGGTACTTATTTTATAAACACAGCATTTTCTTTTTAAATATATCTCATACCATTATTAACTGCACATATTCACAGATTTTATTTACTTGTCACTATTTTTCACTTTTATTCATACACAAACTAAATTGCTTATCTCTTCTAAAGAAAGACAAGTAAAGTTTTAAACTGCTTTTAAATCTATCATACTAATTTAAAATCTATTGTACTTATTCAAAATATAAATATTTTTATACATAATATAATGCTTATTGTTAATATGCAACGTTCTGACTCTATATGCTTCTGAAATAAACTTGGAACTCCTATACAGCATATTTTTGCTCTTTGCTCCAAATAAAAAAGTTTTTGTTAATGTTGTGTTAAGTTTTTTTTAACCCTCTCGCTGCGTATCTCGTGATTTCCATGGGCAACATAGAAGTAGCAAAATTTGCGCAACCCGTGACTTCCGCGGGGATGCATATTTTCTGTTTATTTAACTGTGTAACCCGCTCCTTTCCCGTTCATGGTTGCATTTCGGCTTTTCTGTGATGCTTAATTATTTATTCAGATCTGGGTTAACAGATGGCATTAGTTGTCCATATTTTTGCAAAATATACAAACATGTTTTACACCATTTTGCACGCTCTTTTGAAAGCTCAAAGATGTCTATAGTTCAACTCTCAATCACATGAGACTAACTGATCAACATTTTGATAGATATATATCCCCCAATTACATCAAGAAAGAAACTTGTAAACATTAAGCTGTTTGTTTCTAAAAAAAGACTGAAACTGGCAAAAAAATTCTCAAAAAAACGCGTATTCGGTGCAAAGACGGCGAGATAGGATGCCTCGAGCGTTGTTTCGAAGTTTATCAAATTAGACTTCATTTCTAATAAATGTTTTATAAATATTTTGCATATTTTCATTAATATATACGTTTTACCATTATATTTTGTAAAATAAATCATAATTTAACGAAGATTAATTTTCAAATTTTTCTTTTATACGATTATTCTTCAGTTTAAACTTTCCAACAACCTTTTTTTTATGAGCTAATTCTATACTGAAGGTAAAAAAAAAAAAAAAAAAAAAACTCTTTTACAAAAACTTTTTGTATAATTTAACTCTAAAATATATGTAGATTTAAATTTACGTAATTAAAAAATTATGCAACTTTCGAACCTATTTTGATAAAAAAATTATGCAGCGAGAGGGTTAATGTTCCTATATGCATATGGCAAGCTGAGTTTTCAATTTGATACTAACCATAATTAGTCATTCGCAGAAATTATTTTTTTTTGTCAGCATATTAATTCTATTATTACTATATACTCATATTAATTCTATTATTAACGAAACCGTATAGTTTGAAAATTAAAAAAGGTCTTGCTAAAATGTATTATGAATTTCAGTTCTTAATAGGAATATGAGACGTCAACAAAAATTATTATTCAGAAAATTCAATTTCAGCTAATTTGTTTCAGTAATGTGTTAAACAGCTAAAAAAAAAAAAAAAAACTTGCAACATAAGGATGGGAAAAAATAAGTTTGCATTGTGAAAAACAAATAAAAAAACTGTTGTTGCATATTACAATAGAATATTATTATTGGTTTTATGAGTAAAATATAAATTAACACACCTAACTGACACATTTTATGAAAATATTCATGTCAAAAACATTAAGCACAATTTTCTTTAAAACTTAAAATCCGTATAATTTTTTGCTAAAAGTAAAATGACCTGTCACCATCATTCAATATTGTGCAAATTTTTTTTGGAATAATTTTACGTAAATAAAATAAAATACTCATATTAAGTACTAGGAAACATTTAATATACAGTAGAATTCCAGAAATCCGCAAAGCTTGGGACCAGAGGCTATGCGGATTTGAGGACAGAAAAGATAAAGCATAATATTCGGACTAAAAGTGCAAAATGAATAATTCGTATTAGATACATTTAATTAAATTATTATATACATTATTGCAATAATTTATTATATGCATTAAATTATTATTTACATATATAAATTGATTATATTATTCATTGTATATATGTACACAGCATCGAGGTTTGCCGATTTCGCCTCTGCAAAGATTTCCGGTTTCGGATTCCGGTGTTTGTTAGACACTGTTGCTGTAAAATTTCAACAGCTTTTCTTTATTTTTTTGTATATCATACACAATGTGTCGCAATTCCATACCATTCTGCTATAAATCGAGGAGTAGCACCTGCTTCCATCTTTTGCAGAATTTGCACTTTTGCGTTACTTCAATGCAACGTGTTTACGTTTTGCAACGTTGCAAGCAGTAAAATCACGAGTGAGTTTCTTATCTGTCATTGTATTAAAAAGGGCTGAAATTAAAAATATTCTTAATTTATCCACAAAATATCTGGATTAAAAAAAAAAGGCAGCACCAAACAATCTCATGAAATGAAATAACAAAGCTCAGAAAATACAACAACATGAATCGTGAACTTGAACAAAGAGTTGAGTGAATCATCTGCTTTTTTACCTCGATGTAAATTAGAGGGGAAGAAATTTATCTTATTTTTTAACGTTTTCATGTCAATAATCGTTTTGACTCATTATTATTCGGTAATTATGACGTCATTATTCGGTAAGTATTTTTTTCTTCGATATTTCGTACTCAATGTTGCCTATAAACTGAATGTTTATATCCCGAGAGGCGAAGCGGATTTCAGGAGTTGGCGGATTTTCGGTATTTGACTGTATCAGTACATGATCAAAGTTCATACAAGCAAGAATTCTGCAATATAATAAAGTAAAATAAAAATATTACCAATTTGTTAATAGTGTTGGCTTAGAACTAAGTCGTGCTTGAATCATAGCAGTTAATTGTGCAATCCTGGCTTTATTCTCAGACAAAGTTGGAGAAGCATCTGTTAAGGCAGATCCAGCAGGTACAGCACCTCCTGAAGCATATGCATTCACTGATACTTGGGACTGACTTAAAGCTCCAGTTAATTGCATTTGCTAAAAGTACATGAAGTCTTATAAAGAAAGCTTTTCAAACATAATAATTTAAAAATGTATAAAATAATAATTCAAATGCATATTTCTCTTCATATATATCACCATGTATAGCAAAAAGATATAAAATAGCATTATGGACTATTTTTAGTAGTTAAAAAGAAAAACAGTCAAAAGTCGTTAATTCGGACACCCATAATCCGGAATGATCTATAATCCGAACTTCAAACCTACAAACTTTCTGCGCATGCACCGCGTTTACGTATGCCCGTAAGACCTTCACAGCTGCGCATATGCATGCGCATAATACATTTACGCATGCGCGTTTAATGTATAACGGACGGTATAAGCTAAAATTATCTAATTATCTATTTCAGTTAATGTTGCAGATTGCGTTGTTCCTTAATCTTCGAATTGGATCCGGCTTATTATTTTTTGCAGACTGTTAGAGCAATTTTATAAAAGTAAGCTTGAACTTTCGATTATGTCAAATAGAATTTCCGATGCTGGAGCTCCCAAAGGATCTACAAAGCGAAAGTATGTTTCGATGTCCATCAAACAAAAAATGGAATTTCTGCAAAAAATGGATAAAGGGATATCCTTGGGTTCTCTAACCATTCCATTCCAAAATCTGTTATCAATTTCATATCTGCTCTGCGGTGGCCGGGGACACAATGAATTGGAAGTTGATCTGTCAGCACTATCCTTACCTTCAGGGCAGATCTTTTTATTCTATTTGGCTTATAATTCCTTACTAAATGTAGTATTTCATCTTGATGTACTCCGTCTTTAATATGATTTAAATCAAATTCCTCATCATTATAATTCGCTTCCGATCGTGAAGAAAGTGACACAGAGGTTATTGAAAACTAAAAAATTTTGACTGACAAATTAATCGGTATTCTCGACATAGCAATTATAGGACTTGAACAGCGGAACTTTGTAACCGAACAAGAAATTATGTCTGTTTATAGAATTAAGTATTATCACATAAAATGAAGCAACTTAAAACAATTTTAACTTTGAAAGAAATGTTTAATAAAGTAAACAAATAAATATTAAGCTTTTTTTTTTTTTTTTTTTTTTTTTGTAAATTTTAATACCCTTTAGATCATTATTGTTCTTTATTTCATAAATTACGGTTTCATATTTTTAATTTTATAATTTCTGCATGCCATCTTACCAGATTTAAACTGATGATCTATAATCTGGAAAAATCGATAATCCGGAATCGCCAAAGTCCCGAAAAGTTAGGATTAACGACTTTTGACCGTATTGCCAACCACAGTTTGTAACATTCACTATGCTCAGTATTAAAAAAATAAATGAAATTTTGAGCAGAAAATGCAGCATTTCTCTTTAAAATTTAATTTTCTCTTTTATTATAACCTGAATTTAAAAAAAAAATATTGAATTATTATCATGCTACTTTTCATTGCAAAGAAAGATCATTTCATAAATTTTTTAAGTACACAGATCAAAGGCACTCATTTTAAAATGTAAAAATTTGAAATGAGGTAATTTTTAATGTACTTAGCCAAATTAGACTATATTCAAAATTATTATTTTTTTATTTATAATCAATTTTGCACAATAAAATTTTTTTTTTACTTAAATTTATATACAGAAGATTTATGCTGCAATAAAATTTATAATTATTAGCTTCCCCATAAAATTTGCTTATAATTAAAACATTCCTCAGTGTTAAATCCTAAAATTGTACTTAATGATGCATATAAAGAAGAAATTAAAAAATAAAGAAAAGGTTACTAAAATACCCGTTTTCTTTCTTCAATCATTTTTTGAGCATTTGCCATCATTTCCTGAATCTGTAAATGCAGAAATTCTATTTAGTAAATATACATAACACTGATAAAACACACTGTTCATAAATTTCTTAATCACAATTAAACATTCTTATCTGAGTTTTTACCTCATTTTGTCTTTCATTTTGTGAACCTAAAGAATACATACTATAAAAATGAAAATAAATTGCGACAAGTAAGATAACACATACAATAATTTTCACTTTGTTCTTCAAGAAGCATGCCCGGAAATACACAGGGTTCGTACACATTTCCTTACATGAAAATTAAGGACTTTTAAGGACCATCAAAGAAAAAAATTAAGGACCTATCAGCAAACAAAAAAAATGAATAGAATAAAGCAATTATCCATACAACCGACTTCATGCTTGTAATTTCACTTTAAGAAACTAACAGAAGTGTGTATTATGCACTATTATTAAATTCAATTTAATACTTACCATAAAACAATTTTGAAAATTAAACTAACTCCCTACAAGTTATGAAGTAGATAACATTAAATGAGGAACATAATTTCTTGAAAAACATGTATAAGTGTATTTTACACTAATAACAGTCACTATTTTAGAGATTTACATGATTATTATTTAACTTATTTGATATTTATTTAAACATAGTCAACTACTATTATAATCACAATGTAAGAATATTTTGCAGATTAAAATAACTGATTTGTAAACATACAATTTATTTCCTTGGTTTTTTGAAAGATACTAGAATAATAAACTGTACAATAAAAGATACAAAACATTTGTGCTTTTTTTAAATCTGAAATCTTTTCAGCTATTTTAACATCTAATTTATTTATGTCTATTTCCTTTTCTTTAACTATTCTTCTAAGTTCATTTGCTTTGATAAACAAATCAATGTTCCTGATGGTCTCAGCTTTATCTGCTAAAGCATCTACTTCTTCATTAATGTCTTTAATGTCCCTTTGAAGAAAGTTTTTCTTCTGCTTCATATAATCAATTTCTTCCTTCAATAATATTTCTTTCCTCTTTGAATTTTCAGATTTAGTTAAAGATTTTTGTTCTTCTAAATACTGAACTTCTAAATAACGAACTCCACTTCTTGCAGAAGCTGCTGCTGATCTCATTTCTTTATTAATTTCGATATTAAGAACACCTCCAGAAAATTTTATGTAATCAAATACTGTGCGTTGAAAAATGTATGATGAGTCACTTAAATTTTCAATTTCAATTGCTTTATTTACAGAGAAGCCCCTTTCCACAGAGGCCTGTTCATGTGACAAGATAAGAATACTTGTCACAGTGAATACTTGAATAGTGAAAATATACATTTTTTACTATATATATATATATATATATTTATTTCCTAAACAATATAGATTAATTGATTATATTATCTCCTAAGTTTAATTAAAGTAGAATTATTTTAAAAGAGTGAATCCATACTGGTAAGTTATATTTTGAAAGATGTATATATATATATATATAAACAAAGTCCGAGATCCGGACATCCAATATCTGGAATGATCTAAAATCCGGACCTCAAAGCCACCACCAACCAATTTTTTAGGGCTTTTTTGAAGGGAAGGGGTATGCTTTACGCACGCGCATTAGATTTTTTTCCTCATCATAAAAAAAAATGCCAGAAATCCCGATTCTTAATCTTAGTTTGGCGCTAAATAAAATATCATTATTGAAGAAATAATTATTTTAGCATAAATTTGTGTGATTAGTAACTTGACTCCATAGCTGCGTATCTGCTTGGCATAATCTCAAACCGAAACATTTGTTAATTTTACACCAACTAATATTTTATATCCTTGATGCCGAAATCGCGAATCATTATTTATTGTATTTTGCTTTCATCACCGCATGTTTATCAACGGAATGACAACTTGAGTGATGAATCATGCAGCGACGCCAAATAACAGAGTATTATCGATTACAGATTTAAGTTTAATGCGCTAAAATGTTGACAAGGGGAGATTTAGCAGAAATTTCTTTCCTTATGCTAAAAATAGATTTTGTTAATGATACTCATAGGACAAACGATTATATTTAGTGCTATTTGAATTAAGAATAACTGATTTGTTATTCACATAAAGCCAGAACCAGCTCCAGAGCTCGCATGGCCGCACCAGGCGGCAGAATTTAGCGAAGTTAAACAGAAGTTTTTCATTGCGATGACAATGCCCAATCATCAATCAATTAACGGAGGGCGGAAATCTGTAGTATGGTTCTAAATCCAGAAAATACAGCTACCGATAGTGAAGAAAGTAACAGAGAGGTTACTGAACGAGAAAAAATTTTGATTGACAAGTTATTCGGAATTCTCGACACAGCAATTACAGGACTTGAACAATGGAACTTAATAACTGAACAAGAAATTATATGTCTATAGTATTAGTCTAAAGTATTAGCAGAGAAAACAAATCAAACAACTCACATTGAAAGAAATGTTTAATTAAAGTAAACATATAAATATTAAGCTCTTTTCTTTGGTAAATTTTGATACCCTTTAAATCATAAATGCTTCATTATTTCATAAATCACGATTTCATATTTTCAATTTTATAATTTCTACGTGCCATCTTAGTAGATTTAAAATGATCTAATATCCGGAAAAATCTCAAATCTGGGATCGCCGAAGTCCCGACGAGTCCAGACCTCGGACTTTGTACTGTGTAAATATATATATATATATATATATATATACAGAATGTATATTTTCAGTTAAACTTCTACCCAATAACTTTAGTAATTTATGAAAGTTAATTTTGCGTCTAGTTAATTCAGGAAAATTAGTTTCAATTAGTTGTTTTCAGCTTTAAAAAATATTAAAAAATTTTTAATTAGTTAGTTATTTTCAACTAATAATTGTATCGCCATTAGCAAAAATTATGCATTACTATCAACAAACATAGGTTTTAAACCAAATACTTAATTGTCTATTGAAGCTTCAAAACGTATTTCCGAACTTCACTTTTTCTCGGCTAGCGTTACCGAATTTTGCCCTTGGCGACCTAAAATCGAAATGGAGCCAACAGATTTCCCGCGAAATCGATAACAGACCCTCTGCAGAAATAAACTCATAATCCCGATATCCCATACATATAGTATGTGCAAAAGAGAATAAACTCCGTAGAAGGTGAAGGTGATAAAAAATTAATTTATGGCTTAATTGAAACAAACACAGAAATTAAGCTAAGCAAAACCGTGTAAAAACAAATTGAAATGATAAAACGAAACTTAATTTTCAATGTGAATTTTCAGCGCGCTGACTCTCCCATTCTAGAAATTTCAATTTGTTTCAGACAAAGACCACATTTAAGGATTGCCATCCATCAATATCCAGTCTTTGTAGTCAGCTTGATGAAGCCACAGTTTATTGAAAATGCACTTTCCAGGCATCTCGTTCCTATTGGCGTCGGAAGGGGGTTGTGGCCTTCCAGGTTGGGAATTGCTCTAATTTTGGCAAATATTTTCAGAATCTCCCCCCTCCCTTTTTTTTTCTCTCGAGCACCTTCATCATCACTTTCGCCTCTTAAAGAACTTCCGGCTTCACGCTTTCGTCACAATCTGCCTAAATTTATGGATAACACCTGTTTCGAAAGATTGGGTGAATAGCCAATCAGACACCCGATACTTTCGTTCGGGTAGCTAATTGTTTTTTTTTTTTTTTCGTTTGCAACGCAAATCCGCCAACAGATTGGTTAAGAGCCGTGTAATTTTAATTCCATATTCATGAGAAATCGTAATTCACACTTAGAATGGCAATCATTAGAAATGATAAGAAATGTCAAATGAGCAAAATTTTATTCATTTTGGCCAAAATTAAGGACTTTTAAGGACCGTACGAACCCTGTCAAGACTTTATTTTGTCTATAAGTAGAGAAAAAAGAAGAACAGTAGATTTTATAAAAAATTAAATTACTTTTGATCAAATCTCAAAATAAGAATCATTGCAAATTCTGTAAAATACTCCATTACATGTTGACACTATGGAGACATTTTCGTTTTGTCCCATATTTCTCGAATCTTCTAGAATCGTAGGTCTATAAATCTTGCCTTCAAATCCTTCTAAACTTTCCAAGCTGTAATGTCCAAAATCCCAAAGAAAAATTATCCCTACGAATTCTGTAACAACAAAAAGCCAGAAATATTTTGGAAACAAAAAAGGAGGGAAAAAGTGTAAAATTAATTTTATAGAGAAAACTCATGCATATTTTGAATACTTTTTGACTGAGACAATTACATGGGAAAAACTCTTAATTTGAAACATATTAAAAAGAAGACATTTTTAATTAATTACATAGCTAATTTTGCTTTTGCTAAGAGCTGTTTCGTAAATTGTGCTTTATAGCATTATACCTCGTTTATTTTTCAGATTTAAAATATTGTATAAGTTGCCAAAATGAAGCTTTATAATATGACAGTGAAAAATAAAAATGCTTTATTTTAATGCTATTTTCTAAATATAATTTCAATATATTACCATTATTTTAATGAAATTTATCAATGTTACAATGTTTAAAAAAAAAAAAAATCGTCGAAAAATTCTCAGATTTTGGAATTGGAAAGTTTTTATGGAAACTAATCTTAAAATTGGCAAAACGTTGAAAAGTCGCCAAATTTAGAACCGCTTATTAAAAGAATTCACATCCCCAAAAGCGAAAAGTTGTTTAAAAGCTCTTTACTAGAAAAAATGAATTTCGAAATGCTTATGTTTCATTTCTTGCTTAGAAACTCGAATATCCCTTCATTTATATTAGAAATAGAAACAAATTAGAACTCATGAACCCATTCAAAAGACATGGCAGTGAACCGCCAAAAATATTTCTCAAAATGCTAATACACACTCAAAATGACTGTCGTAAAAACAGACAGAAATTTCAGATGATTAAATAAAAGACCTTCTGCTGATTTTGGCCAAAATTAAAGACTTTTAAGGACCAAAAATCGATTCCAAAAAATCTAAGGACTTTTAAGGACCGTACGAAGCCCGTCAAACTTATTGCATCACTTGACGCACAGTATCAAATTGTTAAGACCTGATGTCTGTGAACTATTATTACTACAATATTATCATATTTCTAAATTCAACCTCAAATGATCTTGAAATGCCTAAGAAGAGACCCAAAAGTGGGGGAGTGTTTGCAGTAACTATGCCTAGTAAAATGTCATTCTCATTTTATCAAATGATATTAAACATACACTGAACTCGGGGATATTATCCAGATTGTATGATGATGTCACAGAAACTTTGTGAAACAAATTGTAACATTCAAGTTTTTTAACATAGATACCCACATGTATTGTAAAAATGTATTTAAATCAAAGTGTTTAAAATAAACTGGTGTGCAAAACTTAAGCAACAATGTAAAAATTTAGCAGATAGCCATGAAATTGCAGAAAAGGAGGTCTGGAGATCAGTACAATGACACGTAAGTCAGTAGAAACGTCATGCGCATGCAAATATCAGAAATGAAATGTCAGAGGCGGCATGAGCGTACACAAAGCGCGTGATGTCGGCGCGTGCAGCTCAACAGTAGAATAAAATGAAAGACGGAGACGCAATTCAACATATTCGCTGCAAGTGCCAGTGAGTGAGTTCGTGAAATATGGCTAGAAGAAATCACATGGACGACTTCACACGTGGAAGAATGATCGGAAAGCTGGAGGAGGGGCATACTGTTATCAGTGTAGCTGCAGAGCTCGGAATCAACAAAAGTGTCGTTTCGCGCTCTTGGAAAGTGGCTGCCTGAGAATGACAACTGCAGGGGATGACCGATATATCGTCCTGCAGGCGAAAGGGGATGACCGATATATCGTCCTGCAGGCGAAAGTGGATGACAGCAGTCAGCAATCACCATTGCTCAGCAACTATGTACAGCAACGGGGGCGACACGTGTCGTGGTTTACTGTGGCAACTATGTACAGCAACGGGGCGACATGTGTCGTGATTTACTGTGGCCAGACGCCTTCACAATGGGGCCTATTCATCTGCCATCCTGAACGCTGCCTCCCGTTGAAAGTTGGCCACCGTTTACAGTGGTGCAGAGAGCACAAAAACTGGACAACTGATCAATGGAGTTGTGTCCTTTTTACGGATGAGAGTCGGTTCAGTACCAGAAGCGATTCTCAACGTGTTTTGATTTGGAGAGAGGTCGGGACCCGGTTTTACCCCAATAACATCAAGGACAGACACCGTAACGGTGGTCGTGGAGTTCTTGTCTGGGAAGGCATTATGCTGAACGGGCGAACTGAGCTCCACGTTTTCAACAGAGGGTGTGTACCGGGGGATCGCTATTGTGAGGAGGTACTCCTTCCCCATGTGCGTCTGTTCCGAGGTGCCATTGGCCCAGACTTAATTTTTATGGATGACAATGCACAGCCACATCGGACTCTTGCTGTTGAGGAGCTACTGGAAAGTGAAGATATCACTCGAATGGATTGACCCCAGATTTAAATCCCATCGAACATGTGTGGGATGCTTTAGGGAGACGCATTGCAGCACGCTTACATCCTCCAGAGAACACCCAACAACTCAAACAGATGATGATTGAGGAATGGGCACTACCGCAAGAAATGTTGCACCAGCTGGTTCTCAGTATGCAGAGACGGTGTGAAGCAACTATTACAGTGAGGGGAGGGGATATCCCATATTGGGGAACATCTGCTTGTTGTTCTTCCTCTTGGAGAGACAATCATGAGTCACGATACTATGCGTTTAATAAAGCTTGCTTTTGTTCGATTCCATACCGTATGCATTGTATTCCTTTTTCAGCTCCGATACTTTCGTCATCCTTTACGCATATAATAATATATACTCCTTCATTTCTGCATTTCATGTCTCTCAGTTGATTTCTCGTGGAGTTATGGCAAAAAACCCTGCTGTTGCTTAAGTTTTGCATACCAGTGTAGACACCTACATTATTTCATTGCACTAAAAACATTTAAATTTTACCATACGTAAACCCAATTTTTATCTAAAATCAATTTCTCCATTTACAATGAAATTTTAATTTCACTTAATAAAGAATTACATTTAGAACAATACTTTTTTTTAAACATTTATATTTTACAGAAATGCAAAAGAAGTTTACAAAATTCATATGTTAAAATAACATCAATGAATTTAAAAAAGCAATCGTAACACATTTTTAAAACACACACACACCTGTATTGTTGTTAACTGGCCTGGGCTTGGCTGGCCAGCTAAAGGCAAGTTTGGATGTTCTTCAACTTTCATTTTTTTGCTTTCACTTATATCATCATCCTACAGAAATGAAAAGATATCAGTACAGATTATTAAATATTGGATAATCTCATTTCATATTAATTTTTTCTTAAAATATAACATACAGTCAAATTCTGCTACAGTGAGCTTCAAGGGGTCAAAAGTTTAGTTCGTTATATATGAGCTCATAAGAAAAATCAATTATGTCATAAAAATGTGCAAAAATTGAATGAAGAACAAAGAAACTGAAACATCGGCTGATCTTTGGAATATGGTAACAGGTAGTTTGGCGACATTTTGGAGGCGATAAAGGTTACTACCTAGGACTTTGGTAATAATGTGAGAAGTACTCAGTTCCGATTACGCATTATTTTGTGTGAGGGAAATGAGAGATCATGAGATATGTCATGTGACATTAATGGACGAATTACAGTTCTTTAATCGGAAAAGGGGGTAAATTTGGAAAAATATCTGTAGTACTATATTATTTTGTATTAAGCTTCATTGTGTGTTGTGTGAAATAGTGTTGATTAATTTTCGGATTGCATGGCGCTATGTAAAGTGAATTCTAAATTTTTAATGCGTTTATCTGATAATAATAATAAGTTGAGATTGTGTGAAAGGAAGGATATTACAGATAAGTTTGAATGGCGGTGCAAGAAATCTGGTGAAAATGGACATTTTGTGAAACGGAGTGTAAGGAAGGGTACGTGGTTTGCTGAAAGTAGTTTGAGTATGGGTGAAATTTTATTAATTTCTTATTACTGGGTGAATAGACTGCCAGTTGACTACTGGATTTCGGATTTAGAAATTAGCAGTAGTACTGCAGCCGATTGGAACTCTTTCTGTAGGGAAGTGTGCGTGCCACGTAATGAAGATTCTGAAGAAGATTAGGTAAGTTAGTATTTTTAATCATTTGAGGATATTATTTTTATGCATTGTTCTAAATGTAAGGAGTAAATAAATTAATATGGTATTATTGGAAAATTGTTATTAGCAATGATTTAGTTTAAAGTAATTAGGATTGTAATCTAATTTTTATTAATTTAATGTATGTGCTTATTTATATTTTAAGTAGTGTTTTTTAATTTAATTATATTTTAATTTAATGATCGTGATTTTGTGAGTTATATGTTTGTAGTATTTTGGAATACGTTTGAGTAGTATACGTTGAGTATTTTCATGCATTTTCGTGAAATTTTTCTAATTTATGAGAAAAAAGCAGTGTACATGGATATAGTGAAGAGTGTGCGCAATGCCATTTTTGTGCAATTCTGGGATGTTTTTTTAAGTAAAAATAAGTCGACGTGTACATGGTTTAGTTATATTTTAATTAAATGATAGTTATTTTGTGAATTTTATGTTTGTAGCAATTTGGTATACGTTTCAGTTGAAGTAAACGTGCATGGAAATAATTTAAATATTTGACACTAAGTATTTGTAATCATTTTTAATGTTTGCGGTAGAAATTCGTTGGTGACGTTTATAATATAATAGATAATTTAGAGGTAAAAGTTTTTGGATATTTTATTTATTTTATACGTGGAAATGTTCATCCTTGGAAAGGGTATATACTTTTTCGCTATCAGGTAATTTCATATACAGTCAAAAGTCTTTAATTCGGACACCCATAATCCGGACCTCAAAGCTAAAATCTTTCTGTGCATGCGCCGCATTGAAGCACGCGCAGAATACGTTTTCATGTGCGCGTTTAATGTATAACGGACGGTATAAGCTAAAATTATCTAATTATCTATTTCAGTTAATGTTGATGATTGCGTTGTTCCTTAATCTTCGAATTGGATCCGGCTTATTATTTTTTGCAGACTGTAAGAGCAATTTTATAAAAGTAAGCTTGAACTTTCGATTATGTCAAATAGAATTTCCGATGCTGGAGCTCTCAAAGGATCTACAAAACGAAAGTATGTTTCGATGTCCATCAAACAAAAAGTGGAATTGCTACAAAAAATGGATAAAGACATATCCTTTGTTTATCTAACCGTTCCGAAATCTGTTTATCAATTTCACGCTGCTCTGCGTGGGGGGGAAGGGGGGGCGTCGTGGCACGCAATGAACTGCAAGTTGATCTGTCAACACTATCGTTATCTTCAGGGCAGATGTTTTTATTTTATTCGGCTTCTAATTCCTTACTAAATGTAGTATTTTATCTCGATATACTACGTCTTTGATATTATTTAAATCAAATTCCTCGTCATTATAAATATCACGAATACAAATCAAATAGTTTTCTGGTTGCAATTTTCTAATTTCGGCTATGCGTAATGTATGCTTTACGCATGCGCGCGTTGAAAGAAATGTTTAATAAAGTAAACAAATAAATATTAAGCTTCTTTTTTTGTTAATTTTGATACCTTTTAGATCATAATTACTCATTATTTTATAAATTACGGTTTCATATTTTGAATTTTATAATTTCTGCATGCCATCTTACCAGATTTAAACTGATGATCTATAATCCGGAATCGCCGAAGTCCCGACAAGTCTGGATTAAAGACTTTTGACTGTATGTTCTTTTTACCGGGTTTAAAGATTCACAAAATTTTCATGCATTTTTGTGAAATTTTTCTAATTTATGACAAAAAAGCAGTGTACATGGATATAGTGAAGAGTGTGCACAATGCCATTTTTGTGCAATTCTGGGATTTTTTTTAAGTAAAAATAAGTCGACTGTACATGGTTTAGTGATATTTTAATTAAATGATAGTTATTTTGTGAATTTTATGTTTGTAGCAATTTGGTATATGTTTCAGTTGAAGTAAACATGCATGGAAATAATTTAAATATTTGACACTAAGTATTTGTAACCATTTTTAAGGTTTGCGGTAGAAATTCGTTGGTGACGTTTACAATATAATAGATAATTCAGAGGTAAAAGTTTTTGGATATTTTATTTATTTTATACGTGGAAATGTTCATATTTTGGGAAGGGAATATACTTTTTCCCGATCAGGTAATTTCACATATGTGCTTTTTACCGAGTTTAAAGATTCAAAAAATTTTCCTGCATTTTCGTGCAAATTTTTGTAATTTATGAGAAAATAGCAGCGTAGATGGATAAAGTTAAGAGTGTGCGCAATGCCATTTTTGTGCAATTCTGGGATGTTTTTTTAAGTAAAAATAAGTCGACGTGTAAATGGTTTATGTGTATGTGCTATTCTGAAAAACGCGCTAGGAGTTTGCGATTGTGCACTTTTTCCCAATTTTGCAGTTAATATTTTGTCATGATTACGCAGTTTTGTTACATAAAATTTCTAGCATAAGTGTAATTCGGCTAGTAGTTTGTTGGAAAAAATGTTGAGTAAATAATAAGAAAAGAAACATGTCTTTACTTCGTGAAGACAAAATGGCGGCAAAAAAAAAAAAAAAAAAAAAGAGGGTTGCTCTAGCAGAGTTGGTCGCCCAATTTTCGCCAAAAAATCGCCAAGTTACCATAACCCAAAGATCAACCGAAACATCTAGCAAAAGAAGTAAATAATATATCCAATTTAAAAAAATTATAACATTTAATTACAATTATTATTAAGCACAGTTATTAAATATACTTGTGCATACAAGCCAGTTTCCCTTAAAAAAATCTTTCAAGAAGACGTCTCTTTCTTAGGCAGATAGCCTTCGAGTGCTTTGCCATAATCAAACAAAACAAACCAACCAATTAAATTTATTGTCAGTTCTTTTCCAATCTCTCTGAAGTGTCTGGCAAATTTACTGGCCGTGGTCTAGGTAATAGCACATTACGACTTTTTCAAATGGCGAATCATCTCGGCAACGCAAAATCCCTATGCTTCATACTTCTCAATATTTTCCTTTTATCTAAATTTTTCCATCTGCAGAAATTATACAATTTTAATTTTTCTTTAAAATATGGTACAAACTGTTGATTGGGATAAATTGTATTTCTGGCAGATATAGACTTGGCTGCATCCATTTTCTACTTTTCCAAGTAATGTTCCAATCATCTTCAGTGCAGAAGCTTAATGTTTACAGCTTCCCATGCGAATGAATTTTCAGACACAGAAACAGATGGTAGAGCATTTAGTCAAAGAATATGCAAAAGTCTTGCTTTTTTGACGAGATGAAAAAGAAAGCTAATTTCATCAACTACATGTTTTCTCCAATGCTCAGTGAGAACACAATCATATGGTTCCAACATAAAGATCTAATAAGTTTCACAAAGATTACCACCTGGTACTTTACCATCATTTACATGCCATACATTTCAACAGTACTACTGTAATAACAGGTGTATGTTTAATGATTCTTGTTTATACAAATAGTTTAAGATGGTGCTTTTGTTGGGTCTCCACATACATTGGCTTCTTTCACAAATGAAAAAAATCTGATGTGTACACAACATGACTTCCTTGTACGGAATATTTAATTATAAGCATTTTTTCTTGCATTTCATTTAAATATATTGGATTGAATTAAATCTACTTTGCCAACAGCACATAAACCACAATTGAATAAATGCATTCTTTAAAATTCACTCTAGTATTTGTTTACCACAGCGACACTCTGGCATTAGATTCACTTAACAGTATTAATAATTATATAACAGTTAACCTATATAATAATTATATAATGGAAACTAAGTTTGTTATATAATCCAATAATTATATAACAGTTAACTTATAAATTTCATTCATATTGTAACTCATAATGAAAAAAATTTATATCATTTAAAGAATAGAATTATCTAATCGTTGCCACAAGTTCTATTCAAATACTATAATAAAGCTAGAGTGATGTATAAAAGAAATTAAGCAAACAAAACAAAAAAGAAACAGTTTTCACAGACGATTGAGTATTTATCATTTAATTAATTCAGTTCTCACTTCGCGAGAAGGCAAAAATACATTAAAAACTCAAAATATCTACATTAAAAATGACGAAGTAAATCTTAAACACTTATTTCCTTGAAAAAATTTCAGAAAGAATTAAGCACGATTTAATTGGCAATAATAAATGAATGCGTTATCTTTGTTGTTGCGAAGCTAAGTTTCTCTAGATTGGCAACAAATTCACTAGTCTCCTGTTTCAAATGTAAACATCAATGGCCACCATAAAAAAAATGGCTTAGGGGCACTTACTCAACTTTAAAATTGTTGATAATTCTAAAAATACTGCATACAGATTTACTAAAGACATAAAAACCTTAACCGGAAGATAAAAACAACATAATACAATCATTTTTAAAGCAAAAAATGTACAATTTACAAACATATAAGAGTAAAGAAACTGAGATCACTGAGCAGGGTAACAGAGTGGTGCGAGAGTATATGTTTGGTGCGGCCGATTGCAATGAAAATACGAGGTGCACATCTACATGTTATAGCAGTCCTATATACAAAATTTCAACGTTCTGAGCCTACTCGTTTTTGAGTTATGCGAGATACGTATGTACGTACGTTCGTACAGATGCCACGAAAAATTTTCTTCAGAATTAATTTTAAAGCAGTTTTATAATTTTTTTGAAGGAAAAGAGTATTTTATTCTGCCCTTACGTACAGATATCATGCAAAAACATCGTTAAATTGCATTCGATAGCGGCCAAAATGGATATTTTCGTTGAAATATGCTGCCTGAAACTTTTCGCGATTACAATACTTCCTTTTTACTTCGTACAAGGAAGTAAAAAAATCATGGCAAGACCACAGCAGAAAAGTACCTATGTCTTTCAAAATCCTACGGAATTAAATACACAAAAGAATACAAAACCTCTATTCGCAAATTAGAACTTAGACAGTATTTATACTTAAAAAAAAAAAAAAAAAAGAAAATCCATTAAAGAAGAATCAACTGTAAAGCAAACTGATAACACTGATTACTTCTTTTGGTTAGAGTAGATTTAAGGGCAACCCTTGGATTATCGCTACATTGTTGTTTCATTTATGGTAACCTGAGTAGGTGAATGCTATAGAAATCCTACTATGACGTAACTGTTTGAGTGATTGCGGTGAAATTGAATGATGGAAAAAGATTTGGAAGATTTTACTTGTGTCGGATTTTCGATAAGAAGTACATTGTTATTTTGCAGTTTACACAGTAAAATGGCTGAATGTGGTAAGATTAATTTGAAGCTTCTGTATGATTTGAAGCGAAAGGGAAAATGCATTAATTAACTGGTGTGTAAGGAAAGGTTTACCCAGTAGCCATTTTAAGTGTCCAGTTTGTAGGAAGGAAATGAGTATGGTCAAACGTCGGAGGATACCAGTACTACGGAGGATATTTTTAACTCTTATTTTTATGAATTTATGTGATGATGTTAGTATACAGATTCTAGTTCAGATAATTTTAGCATGTTTTTGCATGCTGTTAAGGAATTTTGTTTCTCTGAAGACACAGAAATTTGCAAATAAGGTAAGTAGATATTTCCTCTGTGTAGTGCTAAGATAAATTTCTTTTTTTATGTTATTTCATTGTTCGATTTAAAATGTAGTTTACTGTGATTATATATTTTTTATTGGCTGCTCCTTTGACTTTTTAAGTGAAAATGGATCGATGTGTACATGGACATAGTCAAGGGAGTGCGCAATGCCAAGTTTGTACAATTTTCCGATTTTTTTTTAAAGTGGAAATAGGTTGATGTGTACATGGATACTGAGTTTGCACCATTCTTTGACTTGTTTTTTAGGATATCAGTAGCGTCGATTTTTGGTGCAAAAATCGCTGCTACGCAGAGGCAAAATAACAAGAATTACACAAACTTGGTGACCCCTCCAAAATTCGCCAAGGGGCACCTGTAAAAATATTTTTACCCTTCTTTTTTCCTGAATAGCAAAATTTTCAGAATTACCATCACAGCATCAGCTCTGAATAAAGTTCTGTCTGGTAATGTAATGATTAATGAAATAATTTGAATGGAATCGGAGAACCCATTCACATTTTTTGAATTAATGGCCATGGATACCATATGTTGTCCTAAGATAGGCTTATTGTATCCTTGCTTTCCTAGATTTCAGTGTCACATCTGTATTGTATAGCCTTTGTTCAGAACAAAGATAAAAGAGGGGCTGAAGATAAAAGAAAAATAACACACTGACCCCTGTGGGTGAAATGTGGATCCTAATATCCTATATGTGGATGATTTTAATAGTTGGTAATTTTTTTTTTTTTTTTGTTAAAAATTGAAAAAATTCTTGAGAGAATATGAAAAATCAGAAAGATTAAATTGAAGATATCTATGCAGTTTGTTATATCCAATTTTCATACTCTTGGAGGCCTGTTAAAACAGTATAAAATTCATTAAGTATAAAGGAAACTTGTAGGGACCAAAAGGTTTCTTCATTACATTCAGTTTGTTTAGGCAGGATTTGACTGTATATGTTATAATATTTGAATTTTAATTTGCAATAGCCTCTGAAGTCTTTTTTATTCAATAATTTTCCCTTTTTATCTTAAAAATCAAATATTTAAAATACTGCTTACAATTAAGTTTTCCTTGAAAAAAATTAAAACTTCTTTATCTAGCATTATTTGCACGTAAGTTTTTAATACCTAATAATATATTACAACAATATTATGTCCTTTTGCAGAAAAATAAAATAACTTATGCATTTTAAATGTATCCCTCTATTATACTTTACTTCAAAAATGCAGATTTTATGTTCCAGATGATTAAAAGATGGGTGCTTGTTTACCGATTTATTTTTCTTGCCACTCATTTTGCAGCCCTCTCACCAACTACTCTTATTTTGAGTGTAAATCTATTCCCTGGAATTTAGGAGTTAATACATAAAACAAAAAGATACCCCCCCCCAAAAAATACTAAACATTCGATGCAATTATAAAATCTTATTTTACATTTAGTTTTTCTAATAAATATATAATGATCTATATTATATTTACCCTATATCTTTTCTTTGACTTTCTTCTGGCCTCAGCATCATTACCAAAAGTTTTAAAAAGTTGTTCTGCTAATTTTTCAGCTTTTGAATCATCTAAGTATGATGACAGTTTATCTTGGGGGGAAAAAAAAAACAGTTGCTTCAATAAACAGTTAAAGAAATCAAAATTCAAGAAGAACCTTCAAAGCAATAAAAATAATAAATATAACACGAAAGATCACCATAAGAACTAAATTCAAAGCAAAACAAATTAAACTGTACTTTACCATTATCAACAAGCTATTAATGCAAATGTACATTGCACAAAAAAAAAAAAAAAAAAAAAAAAAAAAAAAAAGAGACCATTCTACTAGGCCAATTGACGAAATTTAAATTGCATTTTTCATGTCTCAAAAGCATGACTTATATGAATTAATCAATACAAAATCAGATGTTTTCTGAAATGACATGCCAATTTTTGCCCATATTTTGATTCTACGATTCAAATTATGCTTAATATTAATTTTTTAAAAATATTTTGCAAAATTTTTGGAGGAATTCAAAAATTTATCTTTATTTATTAGTTTTCGCCAAGAATAACTTACTTGGCAAACTTCTTAATTTACAGCAACATATTTTCCTTTTCTTTTTTTCATTGTAGATGAGCAGGGGAAAAAGTTATTGTTTATATTTTTAAATAATTTTAACAAAGTAAGCTACATTTAGCGTTATTATCGCTTTAAAAAAAAAGGGGGGGGGCAAATTTCAAAACGTTCCAATATGTTAATTTGGATTAAGCCTAAATTTCCAATTTTGGAAGAAGGAATCAAGTAAGTTTAATAATAATAAAAAAAAAGATATTAATAAATTTATATCAAATTCAATTAACACCGAGGAACTAAAATTTTGAGAGCTAATTTTTAAAAAACTATTTGTGCGATTTTTTACAAAACTTGGCAGTTTGGCATAATTTGAGTCGTAGAATTAAAATATAGAAAAAAAAAAAAAAAAAAAAAAAAAAAAAAAAAAAAAAGAGCATGTTATTTCAGAAAAAGTCAAATTTTTGCATCAAAATACAATTAGAACAACCCTATATATAAATCTAATACATATCCTAAGTTGCGCTTTTGAGACATAAAAAATGCAAGTTGAATTTCGTCAATCAGCCCAGTAGAATGGAAGATATAGAACTGTCCCTTTTTTTTGTGCAGTGTACACACAACAGAAAATGAAGGTTTTAATGTTCTAGCATTTGGTCAACATACTGAACTGCCTCAATGCTAGAAGTAATCACATTTTCATAATTAAAAAAACATTACTTATAAACAGCTAAAACTGTAGTATCCTAAGTAAAGAAAAATAATTTTATACTAAGAGCTTTTATCATTATTTAACACTCAAGATGGTCACAGATTTGAGCTCCAAAAGGCCATGATAAATGGTATTTTTTTTATTGTAATTCCATGACCATGCTGTTTTATACTTTGACTTTTTTCTTCCACTCTATCTGAACTAGCTTAATCGTATGGACTTATTTCAAGTGTCTGTGTACAGTAAGACCCCGCTTAACGCGGGGGATACGTTCCATCAAAGTAGAGCGTAATGCTAAACAGCGCTAAACGAGGCTATCTTTACATGTAAATATTGGGGTTAGAAGATGATGGCTAGGAAATTGGTTAGGTATTAAATTTAAAAAGTATGTTTTTTTAATAAAAATGAAACCAAACATTTATTTCTTAAAGCCCAAATTAATACCACATTATTATTTCTTGCAAAAATAATAATTAAAAAAATATAAATAACAAAACGAATATTCTTAAAAAAAAACAAATAAAATTCTCAGTCATATTTAGTTAGCCTTCCGCGTTTTCAGTGTTCTGCCTTTTTGTGACAAAAGCATCTAATGTTGTTTGCCTTTTTCTTTTGCGTTGTTCTTAAAAGTTCTTCATAAACGGATAGAGCATCTCTAACACCACACCTTACTTTTGAGCTCCTGTCAAAATTCGGATCATTTTCAATGAATTGATCCATTATTTCAGTTATGGTAGACAAACTCCTTTTTACAAACGCCATCGAAAGTTCTTTTTGTTCTTCTTCTGAATCACTGCTGTCAACATTTTTGTTTTCTTCTTGTTCAGTTAATTCCTTGAGCTCATCATTAGAAAGACTTCTTGAATTATTAACATCTTCCACATTTACCCCTTCAAAATATGTCTGTACAATACCGCGCCAAACAAGAAATACAAGTACACTCTTTCGGATATGTACTTGAAACCTATCGCTGCATAATATTTCGGGGAATCCCCGTATGCTGCGAGCGATTTTGTGGAATCCCCGGGTTGAAATAAAAGAGCGCTAAACCGAAACAGCGTTAAGCGGGGTCTTACTGTACTTTGGTTGTTATGTATTATTCCATTGATTATGAAAGTTGGCAAAGCTCCTAGCAAAATTGCTCCAGTCATTCCCGAAAAATTCTGAATGAACTGATGTTGCTTTATCTAATAAACAATCAGTATTTGACTCACTACGTAAAAATATTTTCATTTATTTCTATTATTTTGTTAGGCCCTCTGATTTTACCAGATGCTCTGCTCATAACTCTTTGAGGATAAATTTCCTGCAGGTGACTGTTCCAATCTATAATTGTTTTGTCAGCCATATTCCAATGAACATATCATATGGATTAACACATCTATTTTGACCTTTTGGTAACTTTGAAAATAATCCACTACTTGCTGTTCGGTAGAAAGCAGGTCCAAAATTTAAATAATTTTTTTTTCTTTTCCAAATGGAAGAAAAAATACAGCAATAACAATTTATATTCTTGTTCATAAAATGATTAAGAATCAGTTCGAGGTTACATAAAATGAAAGAGAAAACGTCAGTGTGTTACGATGTCCTGTTTATTCACAATTGGCACTAAATCCTACTGCCTGGTAACAATTTCACAGTCAACAGAATAATATGTAACTACCAAAGTATCATAATATATTTTAATGTATATTGGAGAAAAAGTCACGGATATTGTTTTGAATGTATACTAAAGGCTTGGAGGGAAAATTGTGAAAAAATGTTCCAGAAGAAAAATAAAATTATATGGCAATCCACAATACTGCCAAAACTTATTTATGTGGCAACCCAACACATGTATACGTGTAGGTCATGTCCGTTTTGACCAGAGCACAACACAGAAGTGTATGGAACCAAGTTTAATTCTCTGATGTTTTTTGAAGTGAAAACAGATTGCTATATACATAAATAGAACAGCAAAAAGAAAATCAACAACGAATGATTGTTGCTTTTTCAACTGATCCCTCTTCATGAAATTTTTAGTATGACATTGTTTTGAAAATGGTTGTTGCCTTTTGTGCATTAGCTTAATTATAAATTAGTGACCAACGAGTTCACAACACTTTTTTTTTTTTTTTTTGCAGGGATAATTACAATATACCTTTAATTTCTAATATATAAAATACTTATTTTGTTATTACATTTTATTCTCCACTAAAAAATGCCTTTTCACAAAGACTTAAGCACTTACTACAATTTTTTACTAGTGTAATTATGGCATCCTCTATGTTTCCTCTTCATCTTATCTTTTAACGTCTGTACATTTTAATTTTCGTAAAATGGCATTACAAGAAAGATAAACATTCACTGGGATTTTGTTTTAAAAAAGTCTGATAATTGTTCCAATCCTGTTTTCTAATTAATAAAATTGTTTAAAGAAGATCATTCTTTATAGTGTATTAATAATGCTTTAGATTTTATGCAACGCAATTCACTGTTGACTATTGGACACATTACTCAAGAATCGAAAATGAAAAATGAAGGCAAGAGTTACGTAAGTTAAAGAAGTGTTAAACATTTTGAACTTGTAACTGAAATAGAGATATGAAAAATTAAGCAAATTTATGAAAATTTTCAAAGTTATACTAATTATTTCAAAGTTAGATAATAAGCTTCTTCTGATGTTGTTTAAAGAATGATATCTAACTGACTATATCACACAATTTTAATCGTAGACATATGTTTGCAATATGTGTGACACATTTTTAATCACATCTAATGACCGATGCAAAAATCTCTTTATTCTGATTAATTCCCTGCAATTTTTGTAAGTTTGTACTGGCTCTTAAGCGACACTTTGACATTGATTGCTAGAGTTAGCAATAAAGTCCCAGCATTTTGAAAACCAGACCCAAAGAAATGGTTTCTCCAACAGGAAGTTCAATTTTGAAATGCTGCAATTACGACAGATCAAACGAAATACAAATATGTCGCAAGTTCCATTGCCGCTGAAATACTATCACAAGTGTCGGACATTTTGATCAATCCCCCAAGGGACGACAAGTACGTGGCTATTAAAGACAGACCAATTTCCATCTTTACCAAAACCAAAATGCAAAAGACCCAAAAATTATTAACTGAGGTGGAATTGGGTGATAGAAAACCTTCACAGCTGTTCTGCAAAATGAAGAATTTAGCTTCAGATAGGAAAGCTTTCATTAAAACTCTTTGGCTTCAAAGATTACAAACGTCAATCTCGAGCATTTTATCCACCAGTGGCGAAGATTTAGCCAAACTGCCGACAATGAACGATAAAAAGTGGGAAACAAAATCTGCATCACATCAGAATATCGCTGTAGCTTGCACTAGAGATGACAATGTTTTAGTTAAATTACATGAGCCGATTTCAGAGTTACCCCTACAAGTTAGGGAACTGAATAAGACATTATTCTAGAGATTTCAACAATCCAGATCTTGCTATAGAAGTAATTTTATTAATAGGCGTAGTAGCAGAAATGAAAGTTTATGTTATTATTGCTCAAGGTTTGGAGATAAGGCTTTCAAATGCAATAATCCTTGCAATTGCCCTAACAAAACCAATGTTCATCCGCAGGACAACTAAATCCCCGACTCCCGAAGACAACAGAGGTCCAAGGGGTAGAGATGTGTCATCTTTTTATTCATGACAAGGAGAGCGCCACCCAATTTTTAAACGATACTGGCGCCGAAATTTCCACAATTCCACCATTATTGAAATGGAACCAAAATTAAGACTTATGGGCAAAAATTGCTAAAATTGAATTTTGCACAGAAGAGCATTTGATTGGTCTTTTGTCATAGCTGAT